CGGCCCCTCGTCGGTCATCTCAGAGCGGAGGGCGGCGGGGTCCTTCGTTGGGCGGTCGCCGTTCCTTCCTCTTCTCGCCGACCCCTTGGAGCGGGGTGTACATTCGGTCGGGGCGCGGGGCTCACCTCTACCGCTACCGCGCGCCCGCGGCGCGCGGTCTTCGCTAACTCAACAAAAACAACTACAAAAAAAACTAATAACATTAATTCGGCGCGCTCCTATGAGCACGCCACTCGCCTTGCGATAGGGCCTTCGCCCTTGGAACGGGCGCTTCGAGCCGCCACGTCACAGTGTGTAGAATTAAAATTCGTTAAATATTCGAACGTTAACAAAATAATAATTGGACGCGATTTGTTTAAAAATGAGGCATTGTTTGAAATGCAAGGCGGAGTCTTATCCTGGATGTAATCGCAGTTTTCACTCGTAAGAAAGTACAAATACGTAACCTCAAATAATTATATGTTATTTTTTCCTACATTTAAAAAAATATGTAAATGTTGTAAGCTACCGAAGGATGTAGATATAAGGCGTAAATGGTTGAATATACTTCAACTACTTTTGTATTTTGAAGTGAAAACAGCATATATTTGCAGTGATCATTTTAGCAATGACAGTTTCTTTGAATTGGATGGAGAAAAATGTATAGCTATATCGTCGTTGGCGCGGCAGCCAATCCCAGCGCGTGACTAGAAAGACACAGATAGGACACTCGGCATCCATCTCTCTCTTTGCCTCTATCACTTCCACTTACAGGTAGCATATATCCCTTGTTCCCTCTATTCTTATATCTCTATGGTTGAGCTAACCTAACCTCGCTCTCTATGTGACTGGTGGCCAGTCGTTAGAATAACTTAACCTTACTTTTATGTCGGCTGAGGTCCGTGATGTTACTGACCGGAAATCCTCTTTTCTTTTATCTGATTCCGGTTTCTATTTGAAAAATTACTTTCCCTTTTCATATACTGAATTTATTAATTTTATTGACGGTATTAAAAAATAACTTTTTCCTCTTTCTTCATACGACTTCGCACGCGCGTCTTATAGTTAGCCCTTATTCTAATGTAGTCATACGTTTTAAAATGATGCTGTTAAAATAAAACTTTTTCGATATTTTTTACTTATAGGACATGGAATTATATAAAACTAAACTCGTAATATAACAAATAAAACTATTGTAACCGCAATATAAGAAATAAACTGTTGTAAACGTAATATAGAAATAAAACTGTTGTAAGTTATAAAAATAAAACTGAAATAAACTCTTAATCCTTTGAGCGCTATGAACCCGTATATGGGTTCTCACACAACCATTCGTTTTTGGCTATGAACCCACATATGCGTTTTCGCATAACCATTCGTTTTTGGCTATGAACCCACATATGCGTTCTCACGCAACCATTCAGTTTAGGTTATGAACCCACATAATTATTTATTTTATTTATTTTTTCGTACGGAGTGGGCAGTCCACGGCGTACGCTTAACGCCGACAACGTCTGCTCAACGTGCGCTCTTTCGTAAAAAGTACGCAGTCCACGGTGAGCTGTCTCTTACGGATTGGGCAGTCCACGGTGAGATGCCTCGTGCGGAGTGGGCGGTCCATGGCGCACGCTTAACGTCTGGCAACTCAGCGCTCAAAGGGTTAATTATGTTTCGGTTCTTGTTCTCTTGCTTTGCGCGGCCTTTCCATTCTCGCGGTCACCCGCGCTTCTCTCCGCGGCTGTACCTCCGGTTGCAGTTTCTTCGGCGTTATAATTCGGCGTTATAATTTTAATTATAATATTTAACGTGCGCGAATATACATATGCTCACGTACTTACATCTAGTAACATAGGGATAAAATATATACATAGGGATATAATATATACCTAGTGAATATCTAACTTAGTGATGTCTGAAATCAGACAAGTCGGCCTCCAATCTATACTAATATATTATTAATGTTCCAAAATAAGTCCGGACGTTATACCGTACTGCAACTATCTCTTTCTAATATTTGACAACTCTAGGGCTGAATGCGCAGTCTAGTTAATATACGTCTATGGAGTTAACAACTACGAGAAGGAAGAAAGGGAATATAACCTTTCCATGATAAAACATAAATACTTCTAGGAAGTAAAGACAAAAAATAAAAAAATTTAGAAAATAAATAAATACAAATAAATAAGTAACATGCGACCACGCAAATTTAAATTGCCATGCAATGTGGATAGGTAAGGAATTATAAGTAAATAAAATTTATATAATAAAAATTTACCATTGTTTATTAAAAATTTCTGTCTTATAAAATTAATATACTGCTTATAAAATTAATATACTGCTGGCTTTTCTACATTGAATTCAGTTTTACACACGCTGATAAGAAAATAGTGGTTGTCTCAGTATTTGGCAAGTCACAATATCGAGCAAAAGGATGTAAGATGGATATGCTCGGTCCTGTATTTCAGGTAAATCTCCTGGATGAGCCAGAAATTGATGAAAATTCTGTGGTAAGAAACTTGATTTTTAGAGATTTTCTGTAATTAGTTAGTTGATTTTAATTAAAGTTTATTTCATATAGTGTGAAATTGAAGGATATTATAATACTAAAAAGAAGACAGTTTATCTACACTTAAGAGGATTCTTAGACACCCATACACTTTTAGCTGAATATGATAAATTCATAGAAAAACAGGATTGTAAAGACTTCCTCAGTATATGGGCACATGTGAGAGACAGATATGCCAGAGCCCTTTTGGTGCTTTTTCATATATCTCATGTGATTGTGCTTACTCATCCTACACATACTTTTGACTATAGCTATGTGCATTTATTTCGTGCTATAGATATAATCAGGTTAGTATAAGATATATATTTTGCATAACTCAAATATTTAATATAAATCACTGAAAATATATGCTAAACCATATATATATATATGTACACATACATATTACATGTAAAATTTTAAACTCAAATATCTTAAGTTTTCTTTTATTAATTGATATAATATTTTATAATAGACAAAAAATATCCCCTCAACTCTCTGACATGTTAAGCTGTATTCATAATCTACCAAAGGATTGGATCTCAAATGGCAGGCCTTGTTCACCACGAGTGCTATTTTATTTTGAAAGCTGTCCTGCAGTATTTCAGAACTCAGACAGTGATGTTAACATTAAAAAGTTGGAACACTCCCTTGAGGATCAGATTTATCATGTGTTAAGGAAAAATAGAATCGTTACTAATATTAGGTATGAGATTAACCTGTATTCTCAATAAAGATAAAAGAAGAGATCGGTTAGAAAATATTGAAATCGCATTGCTTTATTTCCAGCTCAAATTCTTTGTTTGCAATACCAGCTAATCAGGAATTTGTCTACGTGCATACCGAGAGCACAGAATCGAATGATATGTTGGGTTATATGGCAAGCAAGTTGATACAAAGCTGCAAAGTTGGTCCTGGTGGTTTGACATCGAGAAGTCTTGTTAGTCTGGACTCAAACATTGTAGCAGATGATACCGAAGAAGGTAAGATAAGGATAAAACGAGCAATATACATGTGAACAATTTTTGTGCATTTTCAGAGTCTCACTCATTCAGATTATTTTTGCAACAACATATCAATTTGGCCTTTGCGAGAGGATTTGACGATAACGTCGGTCGACATTCAGTACCTGCTTATTTCGAAGTATGTCTTTGTGAATTACATCATCAATCAATATTGATTTAACATGAAACACGTTGTTTTGTTCGTGCTCTCTTACCTTATTTGCATCAGAAGCAGATATATCTGTTCATTTTGTTTAGCCATTATTATAAAAGTAGGTATATCCCTGCAGTTAAATCAAGTTACAAAAATGTGCTTTGATTTATTTTATTAGATTTTACGTTAATCTAAAGAAAGAAAGAATTTGATATGAGCACATTTTTCAAATCTGTTAATATAATTGAGTTAAAAGCAATAAATAAATGAACAACGTTTTGCAGATACCCAGTCTCAATGTGTTTTGTCAAGTGGCGAACAAAGTCTTTGACTACTTTGTTCATAGTACTGACAAAGAACTATTGGCGCTTCACAACTTATTAGACACTGACGTGAAGTTTAGCAAGAGTAGATGCAGCAAGGTACTTCCAAGAGCTCTGCAAACGTATCAGGAGAATTTACCGCAGCACTACACGAGGTAGAGTATAGTAGAGTTTATTTCTACTTTGGAGTTCAAATCTTTTGAGAATTTACAATATTCATTTATTATATGGAATGCTGGAGTCAAAATATTCAGAGAGAAAGAAATTATACAAAAGGATTTATAAAAATTAGTAAGTAAAATATAAAGAACAGTAATATAATGGTACAAAGTGATAGTATACAGGGTGAACCACACAACGTAATCATCTTAGTTTATTCTGCTGTTAGTGGACTGCTTGAAAATTCTTTTTGCCAAGTATAATACGGTTCAAGGGTGAGCTTTAAGATGATATACTAGACAAAAAATGTCCAAGTGATCTACTATCAGAATAAACTAAACTGATCACGTTGCGTGGTTTATCCTGTATAGAACATAAGTAAATACTAATAAAGAAATGCAATAGATCGCTTAAAATTACTTTGTGGTTTGATGATAATATAGTGATGTCGCAACATAAAAATATTAATATTAATGATATACACTTATATCTTTGATTGAAGGTAGATGTGTGGAGAAAAATAAAAGTGAAACTGTACTTAGTAACGTTAAAGAAATTGTAAAGGTCAGGAAAGATCCATGGTCAAGCGTTATAAAATGACGAATATAATTATGGACGACTTAATTTAAATACATGCGAAAATGCAAAAAAATTAATAGAATTATGTCCATGAGGATTTTTCATCGGACGATTATATTATTATATTTTTAGAAAGTATTCACAATTTTTTCCAGTCAATTATAATAAATACTATTCAAAATATCTATATGTATTATGTATACAAATTAATTCGGTGCCATTTTTCATGAAATTCAAAGTTTATTTTCAAAAAGACAAGTACACATTTAATATTCGAAATAATCTCCATTATTTTCGATGACTTTACTCCATCTTTCGGAGAACTGACAAATCCCCTCGCGGAAGAAACTTGGCGGTTTTGACTCGATAAAGTCATCGATTCTTTTTTAGACTTTGTAAACTGTTTTAAAATACGTATCCACCAGATGATGTTGAAGCGACCAAATAGGTGGTAATCTACGACGGGGCTAAATCTGGCGAATAAGCTGCATAAGGGAGAATTTTCCAGCCTGATATATAGATGAGATTTTTTGTTTCTTTTGCAGTATGTGAGCGCGCGTTATTGTGCAGCAAAATCACCTGTCTAATTCCATTGCCGGCAAAAGATATTTTTACAAGTTTAATGGGTCACAGCACCTTTACCCAAAACGGAACAAATCATTTTGCTAGACTAAGCAGCATTTTTATTTAATTGGAGTGCAAAAAGGATGTAGTACCTCAGATGCTTCTTTTCGAACAACATCGTGATAACAATTGTTTTCTGAGGTTATATCGGCAAGATCGTCAACTAATGCTTCTTAAAGCTTAAGGTTGGCATTTTCAAATTCCTATAGAATAGGAAAAACTTTAAATTTGAACCAGTTGCAGAGCATTAAATGGAAAGGTTCCGAATTAATTTGTACCTGATATTTTATTATTTGGCAGTCTCAAAAAGCAATATTTATAGTCTCAAAGAATCTATATGATTACGTTTGATTTATCTTAGAAGAAAAAATTACCATCTTTGACTATCTGATAAATAAAAACAAATGCAGAAGTTGAAATTTATATTTATTGATTTATATTTATATTATGTTCATTTGTAAGAAGAAAAAGGTAAGAAGAAAGTATGAATGTTACGATCAGAGAAAAATCAATGTGCTTTAATTTTGATAAGTCTTTTTATGTCAGTATTTATTTGCTGTTAAAAAAGCTAAGCATAGGTTCAGTTTATTCGAGTTGGAGAGCGCAATAACTTCATACGAAGTGCGGACCACAAAGAGTTAAAGCTATTCGATCAGATGCTACTGTTTGAGAACATCGTTCGTTCGTCTAATTAAAATTATTTTTTAGAGCGTACCATGAGTCAAAGTTGGCACACGCAATGGGTGTTTTCGAGATGCATGCCCGTGGCCCGTTGTTCGAAGAGTTCAGCGAGAAACTGCATGTTGAATGCGACAAGCATTGGCGTGCCGGCCGACAGATGTGCGAAGTTCTTTCACTTACTGGTCACCCTTGCACAAACCCCATTCACAAAGGAGGCAGCGAAGGTGCGGGAGGTGGAGAACAGGCGGAGCCTAGAGAGGACGACAGGTATATGGCATAATTGTCTCCTGTGAAACATAGTCAATCGGCAAATATTTCTTCTTACCTGCAGCGAATTGCCTGTTCGAGAACATTGCAGCGGTGTCAGATACGTGTGTGCCTGTAATTGCGGCCGATATCAGAGCTCGAGAGAGGATCCCTTTGGCCTGAGACAGGCCAACTACGATTATTTCCAGCTGCTGGCGAAACAGTGCGGTTGTGCGCAGTTGGAGAGCATACAGTTCCCTGTGTTTCAGCCCAGTACACACAATTTCAGGTAGAATATTCATACATTTTATGAATTTATGGACTTAATCAATTGAATTGATAGAAATAAGAGGCAAGTAAGAACCTGTAAGTACTATTATCAGAATGGAATAATATTTGATAATAAAGAAAAAATGTTTATATTTAGTAAATCGAATGAACGTTCCAATCATTTTGTTGGATTCTTTTCAACACAGATTGACAATATCAGAAAAAACAAAACATGCTGTCAAAACGCAGATAACCAAAATATGCCAAGTTAGTTCCGATGTCAAAATTTAAAAATTTAACTCTAGTTTGGCATTTATGAGTAAAGTTGACTTAAACCAAAAACTAAAATTCTACAATTATTATATCTTGAATTATTGCACGTGTGAATATAGAATTATTTTCTTATTGCATGTACAATTTTTTCTTTTCACGTAGAAACCAATACATTATCTTTTTTTATATATTAACATTTATTTATTTGAAACATAATTTTTCGTTGCAACGTATTTTTCAAATTAATCTTTCATGTACTTAAAATTATAATGTATGTATACTGTGAATAAGTATATTAATAGATGATTAAGTAAGAGCGTATTAGAAAAATGATTGGGTTCCATAATGTTAAGCAGCAAAAAATGTGCCGACAAAGAGTTAAGAATAGGATGTACAAGGATAAGGGGATATTCACGGTTTGTCCCAAAAGTTTCCGAACTTCCATTAAAATTTACTCTGTAAAGTAATAATTCTAAATTTTTATCTCATTCAAAATACATTTCTTCCGAAAAAATACAATCTTTACAACGGTCGTATAGTTTTAGAAAACTCCACTGCAAGTTTTCTTTTGAGATGATCGAAATAGTCTCGGTCGAAGCCTTCTGGAGGTCCAACATAGTGTCGAATTGCTTTTTCTTTAGTTTTATTTTTAGTTTCGTGAACAAAAAATAGTCACATGGTGCCGAATTTAATAAATATGGGAAATGATCAAGGATTATGAAATGACCAATTTGGAAGTGAGAAATTTACGCACGGCGATGTACTTGTAAGCCGGAGCATTGTCATACAGAAGATACCAACTGCTTTGAATTTGGTATTGAGAACGAATCCAACCAATTCTTGCCAGCAAACGCTTCATAACGCCCAAGTAATAATCTCCATTAACAATCTTGTCTTGTATTTATCTTGTATATGTTTTATTGGTATTTATACTTCTGAGCTTTTCCACTCTGAGCTTTGGAGAAGTTTGTCCTTATAGCCTCCTGTAACATTGCTAATGTTTCTGCGAACGTTTTGCCCAATTTCACACAAAATTTGATATTTGCTCTTTACTCCGTCATGATTTCTCGACGATTGTCAAAGGTCATGTCGATTTTATACTTGTAGCAAAACAACCGCTAAGAGGTCATCAGTTCAACTTACAGAATTTGTAAATGAAACTTCAACAAAGTTAGTGCAACTTTATTTATATAGCGTCAGTAATGGGACAGACCATGTATGTTCACTACGTCATGTAAAATGAACATTCAGCTAATCATTAAATATTTTTTTACAAGGCAGACATAATTACTTCGATTTAGCATGAACTACAATAAGCAATGCGAGACATTTACGTGTAATTTTATGAATGAAATAGATATTATTAATTTGCGTTGAAGAGGACAGGAGCGTACATACGCTTTGGGACCAAAATGTTCGTTTGTTCGATTCATTACATGTAAATATTTTTCTTTTATTATTAAATATTGTCCTGTTCTGATATTAACATTTGACTCTTTCTTGCCTTTTATTATTATTGATCGTTAATTGAGTTGATAAAAACCTATACAAACTTAAATCGTAGTTGCAGAACTCGATTGATAGAATATTCATGTTAGCGAAAGTCTTATCTCAATGGTTAATACCCATATTGCACAATATAAAAAAATCGGGACATAAGATGTCTTTAACCCGGGAATAGTAACCTCATTTTTTTTAAATAAACGATCACGAATATTTGATATGCTTATTCCGTTTCTTAAATACTTTTTTTGGTTTCTCTTCATGTTTTCCGAAAAGTAGCAAGTAAATCTATATTTATAATATCTCTAAATAATAAATCATACAGCAATTGATAATATGCTATATTTTAATAGCGACTTTTAATTCAGGTTTAAATAATCTCAAGTGACTATTCCTGAGTTAAGACGTCTTTAAGACATCTTTAAGATGTCTCTAAGATATCACAATTCTTGTCTATAATCTTGTTTTAAGATGTGACAAGGAAGTAAGTTAACCAATATCACAGTAATTTATTATATTATATATTAATAATCAATATTATTAATATATGCCTTAAAGCAAGGTTGTGGACAACGACTTACCTTATAAACGTCTTAAAGATATCTTAAAGACGTCTTATATCCCGATTTTGGACATTGTGTAATCTGAATACTGATACATATATACAGAGTGAGAGAAAAGTAGCGGGACTTCTAAACATTTCTAGTATAAAGCATTTATGGAAAATATGTTTTAAACAAAAAGGATGTGTTTGGTTTAAAATAGATTAGATTATTATAATGGTTTAACTTTGGATAATAATGCCAAAGATCATTTCAACGTTATCTTAATTTTTTTAATAAAAATTCCTATTTTTCGTAGTATTGTAGTCGTATTTGTATACAAGCAAGATAATTTTGAATAAGTATTATTTTCATTATTTGTTTGAAGAGATATGGTCCTCTAAGAATAAAAATACGTTGTTCCATTCAAATCATTATGTACAGATCTGATGGAACGATAAACGCGCCACGTTCTGGAAAATATTTTTCAATAATGCATTGTTTTTGAAATATTTAAAAGTAATCTCAACAATCTATTTAAAAGTAATTAATATATATATTTTTTTCTTATTCAGAGCGGCACAATTATTCTCATCGACGAAACGCCACGATTCCTTCAGCCGCACCGGGTCTTCCACGCCCCAGGAACACACGCAAGCTTGTAGCTTAGGAGGCGACAGTTTAAACGGCAAGTAACAGTATCTTGAGTAAATTGTGATATTTTCTCGTTGAGCTTTTAGTCTATTGCTAGCTAAACTATTAATTCCTTACTAATTCCTTACTAACGAACAAACTATTAATTTTCCCGGGGAACGTTACAGGTGAGATTACGGATTATGGCAGCGGCGGCCAATCACCAGTAACAAGCGACCCGATCGAAGAAGATATTTCTAGATTAAGCAGTAAGACGAGCCTCACACCTAGCGATGCACACAAAGTCGTCATAGAAGTAACCGATAGCGACGCCGAGAATTCGAAAGGTGCTTATCTTCATTTTCTCGTGTTACTCATGTATAACTATTCAACGAGAGGAATACTAATTATAAATATACATGTGCCTTACAGAAAAGTCATTGGTCAGGCAACCATCGACGACGGAATATCTACCTGGAATGTTGCATACCGAATCACCGGCCGGCTTGTTACCGCAGTTTTCCAGCTGGTCGCTAATATGCCTCGGACCTAGCAGCCTTTACTCTCACAACTTAGGACTGCAGCATCAGACCGGCGTATTGCCCACATCTGCGTTTCTGTTACCATGGGACGTGACAGTAAGGTGAGAGGAAATATTTCACACCCTGATTATTGGATGTTTTCGGAAGATAGGTGGAAAATGACAAAAATGTTCATCACAGATTGGAGCATCAGAAGGAACGCAGTTCGTTATGGCCTACAATAAATGACCATAGTGCTCATGGCGGATATTGTCCGCGAGGTAAAAACTTTCAGAATGCGAATCCTATTCGTGGTCGCAAGTCGAAAGGTGGCAAGGAGTTCGTCGTTAAGATATTTGTTGGTGTGGAGTATGAGTGTCCGCGCGGCCACAGATTCATGGCATCAGCTCCTGATAAAGTGTTGAAGGCGTCTGGAAACGGGATCGTGAAGGACAGCGGCAATAAAGTGACGTCCAGCACGGCGGATATGCCGCTTTATTTCTCTTGCCCATGCAGGTTTGTTAAGTTTATGTTAAGCGTTTAAAATGCTTACTTAATAAAAGGGATACGATTAAAAACTTAAAAACTTCAAAACTTTGCACTTAAAAACTTGACCGGCAAAATGCTTTATTTCTGCAAAATTCATGTCGTATTGGCTGCACAGAATTATATATATATAAATTCTTTTATATAGCGAAAATATATACGAAAATGAATTGGAGCACTGCTCAATACAAACAAAATGTAACAAGAACGATTAAGGCTCCTGGATAGTAGCGTTTTACGTTGAAATAAAAAGATATATTTACGAAATGACATTTGCAATCGATTCAATACACTTATAAAATTGTCCGTGCACTTTTCTTTTATTCGAACAAGCAATAAATAGTCGTCAAATTAACATTGACAAAATCATGAAAAAAGAGGTTAAAATGAATGGTTCCGTGTCAAATTAATTTTGGCTGTTTATTGATTGTTCGAGTCAAAGAAAAGTGCACGGACAATTTTACAAGTGTACTGAATTGATTGCAAATGTCATTTTGTGAGTATATCTTTTTATTTCAACGTAAAACGCAAAAATTCTTGACATACGTTTTCTCGCGTCTGACATCATCAAACAAGGACAGTTGCAGCGACTACCCAGGAGTCTTAAAAATTTCAAAATTGACGTCTTTAGCTGTTAGGAGAAAGCATACAGAAATATATATCTTACAGCTTGTACAGTCGTGGCATAATGAGTGTTACACTTTTTTTGCGATCTTCGCAATGTTTTTAATAGGAAAATCTCCTGCGAATGAATTAAAAAAACAAATTCTCCTACTGAATATAAGATGCATTGTGAAATTCATAAAAAAAGTGACAACTTTTCTGTCTACGACTGTACATATTAAATGCGTCAATGCTCCAATTAGGAAAATTTCAAAACACATTTTTGCACTTTTTCATTTAAATTTAGAGGTTTAAAAAGATACAAAAATCCGCAGAAAAAATTGTATATATCTTGGTTAAATTTTCCGTTAGATATGATAAAACACAGTAACGTGCCATCATCACATTTATATTTACGTGAGATATATAATATATATATATATATAATATATATCTGTATTTTATCATATCTAACAGAAAATTTAACCAAGATATATACAATTTTTTCTGCGAACTTTTTGTATCTTTTTAAACCTCTAAATTTAAATGAAAAGGTGCAAAAATGTTTTTTTGAAATTTTCCTAATTGGAGCATTGACGCATTTAATATGTACAATCGTAGACAGAAAAGTTGTTATATATATATATATATATATGAAATACGAAAAGAGTATCGTGATCATGTCAATATTTATATTACATAACATTTGAGAATCACTTCTGAGTTATCGACGCTCATCAAGTTCGTCGTCGACTTTGACATTCCCTTAATATAACAATCCGCGTAAATTTATATACTAACATTTCCTTCCCTGCTTTTTTTTTTAGATCGACTAAACCATTAATTGCACAATTAATGAGAATCCATGTCGTGACGCCTAAAGCGCCGGTACATGTTACATTAAATCCGCGGGTACAACCTGGCCCACCACCTTGTCCGGTATTCGTCACCGGATGCGAGGAACCGATCAAACTCTCACAGAGTGCATACTGGATTTTGAGATTACCGTATCCTTATTTACATTTCCGGAGCTGTTAACATTCGCAGAAAATTTACGTTATTTCTGATGCTTGATATCTTTTAAAAAATATAATCAGTCGAAATTCCTAGAAAAATCATGATTTGATGAAAAAAAAACAATTCTGTCAGAAAAAATGATAAGATAAACTTTTTTTACTTTTATATAAATATGTATTTTACAGCTTGGAATTGCTGTCTTCAAAAAACTGTTCTTCTTATGAATATCGGAACTTGTCGGATACCAAACGCGTAAGTTCTTTTATACAATATATCTCAATATATTTCATTAAAATATTAGTTTACAAATCTCAACCGTTAACTAAGTCTCTAATATTCTTAAATCTCCTATTTTCAAGGAGAAACAACAATTTTGCCTTCTACTTAAAATCCTTGTTCTCGAAGTTGAGAACTCCGCATTGACGGTGGGGCCATAGTTGTTAGCGGTAAGAATTAGAACCTGTCCATTAATTTTTCTGTTATGTTTATTAGTTTGCCTATGGGACCTTAATAGATTAAACTAGCATAGTCACTTTAGCATAATCAAATGTGACTTTTTCATCGTATTTAACTGTATGGTACAAGCGATTGCGTTCTGTTCCGTCTTAAGTCCAGGAGAGAGATGAGTTATCTCCCCTCCTGCTTTTCAAGCGACGCGTTGCCCGAGCAGAAAAGTATTTCGAGGCTTGAACAGTGATGCGATTTCGAACCCGCGCTAGCGTCTTCCCACTTTCTTCCGCACAGAGAGACGCTCTGTCTATACGAGCGACGAGAGAGAGAGAGAGAGAGAGAGAGAGAGAGAGTGAGTTCTCCTACTCACTCTAACTCGGTTAATGCGATCGAGGCTGCCGATGCTTTTTCAACATTGATCTGACAAGAGACAACGCGAGGTGGGTAACACAGATAACTCATCTTTCTCCTGGACTTAAGACGGAACAGAACGCAATCACTTGTACTATACAGTTAAATACGTTGGACAAGTTCTAATACCTACCGCTAACAACTATGGCCCCACCGTCAACGCGGAGTTCTCAACTCCGAGAACAAGGATCTTAAGTAGAAGGCAAGATTGTTGTTTCTCCTTGAAAGCAGAAAATTTAAGAATATTAGATATTAACCAAACCTTGATCATTTGAATAGGGGACTTGATAAGAACGAACGCAAAATATTAGGTGTAGTCGACTAACTATTCAGAAGTTATTAACGAAAATAAAGTCAGCGTCGAGTGCAAACTACATAACACGACCGAAGTTAAAATTGGTACGTAGTAGTAAGATAAGATATCTGACTGCTAAGATATGTGATTGATTTAGACTCCTTTTATTGATTGTTATTTCTTGAATATCTTTTCTTTTTTTAGTAAAATAGTAATTCTGTAATTATATAGTGAGCGAAAAAAGACAATAGAAAAGCAGATTTGTAAATAGTCAAAATTTTTATTGATTTTTCGTTCAAAATAAAGTTAATCGTTTGATGGAAAGAAAGATATTAATATTAATTGATAACCAATTTTCTTTTACATAAATATATTTATTAGCGTTACATATGATTTGCCAGAACCAATATCTATATATACTATATATCTATATATACCTATATCTTTATATACGACTTTCGCTTTCGATCTAATGTGTATAATTCACGAAATGCGCGAATCACAATAAATAAACGGTTGCTTGAACATTCAATCGACGCAAGACAATAATCGACAGCTCGGTTCTCTGTCTAGTCTTCTTCTGACTCATACTATATCTAAAATATATCGGCGTACTTGATACGTAGAAAGCAATATATATACAAGAATATAAGAAAATAAGAACAATAGAAAACATAATAAAGGTTATAAGAAATATAAGAAATAAATAACATAAGAAACATTTAAAATAATAATAAACATTTTCGGGCATCTATTAACCCACTAACACGTTGAGTGTGGCTATATATAAAAATCCAATCCCCGTGGCGACATATTTTTTTTTTCTTTAATTCAAATATACTTAAAAATAACATGTCATAGAGAGAGAACTCCTAGTTTGATCTAAAGATTGATCCCGTACCCAACGTGTTAAAACTCATGGGCAGAACAATAGACATAGCAGAAAAGTTAATATTGGGATGAGAGCGTTTGATCAAAAGATGACTTTTCATGAAAACATTAGATTTTCCAGCTGTTTAAACAATAATTGTTTAAATAATTTGTTTAAAACTGCGAGTTACGGAAAAACTGATAGCGCCATTCGATTCTAAGGAAAAAATTACATAAAGTTTATGTATTAGATAATTTTTTTCTTCACTCAATTTGTGATGTAACATAATAAATAAATGCAGGAATCATTATTGCGAAAAAATGTGATGTTTATTTGCTACAAATCATTATTGTGAAAAAATGTGATGCTTATTTGTGTACACCAGAATGTATGTGCAGATAGTCACAGATCGATATTTTTAATTAATATTCAACAGTAATATTCTCAACTCGCTGTTGACACTTATTATTGTCGCTATAAACTGAAGCGGGTATCATACTATGTAGTTGTTTATTTATGCTACATCACAAATTGGATGGAAAAAAATTGTCCAATACATGGGTGCTATAAAATTTTAATAAATTTTAAATAAATCGTTTAAACATTAATTGTCTAAACAATTATTTAAATAACAATTGTTTAAACAATTGGGAAATCTTTTGATCAAATGCTCTCATCTCAACATTAATTTTTCTGTTATGTTTATTAGTTTGCCTATGAGACTTTAATAAATTAAACTGGCATAGTCACTTCAGCATAATCAAATGTGACTTATTAAAAAAAATTATAGTTATTTTTTTTTTTTTTAATTAATTGCTTTATTCCCGATTTTTTGCTTCAGTCGATTCGCAAAAAACAATGACTGTGCTAACTTACGATTAAAGTTAACACAACCAAAAAGAAAATGAACTAAAAAATGAAAAACGAAGACATATTTTTGTGTGCTATTTAATTGCTCTATTTCAGATTTTGTTGTTCCAACAGTTTCGCTGAAAATAATGGCTGGTACTGGTTTACGAAAAGACCAGTTGTACAGGAATAAAGTTTATTATAAAAATTATTCGCACAAATATGTTATTAAAATGATCCTATAATTTAATTACTCTAGAAATATACCGGGTACGAAGTTGTTACTACTTTTAATGAAAAAAATAACTTCGGAATAATGATGGTACCCGCCTCTGAGAACCGCTATACAAAAGAAAAGTATATTTGAAAAATTATTCGCACAAATATAGCATCAAAATGACCTCTAATTTAATTGTTTTAAAACACATCGAATACGAATTTGTTGCTCCACTTTTAATGTAAAAAAATAATCGCAGAATATCCGCTTTCGAGAATTGTTATACAAGATTCAAATATATTAGAAAAATTAATTGCTCCCAAAATGTAGTATCGAAATGATTTCTGAATTAATTGCTCTCGAAATATACCGAATACGAATTTGTTGCTCAACTTTGGATAGATATATTTTCATCTTGCCCAGTAATACTTCGTAAGCGAACATCACGTTATTCTGCGGTCGTTTTCTTGCATTAAAAGTGAAACAACAAATTCGTATTCAGTATATTTTGAAAGTAATTAAATCAAGAATTATTTTGATACTACATTGGTGTGAGCAATTAATTTTTCTAATATATTTTATTTTTGTATAGTGGTTCTCGGAAGCGGGTTACTGTTATTTCGCGGTTATCTTTTTGCATTAGAAGTGGAGCAACAACTTTGTACTCGGTATATTTTGAGAATAATTAAGCCAGGGATTGTTTTGATATTACATTTGTGCGAGCAACTAATTTTTCTAATACATTCTGTCAAATAAATACCGGGAATTGTTCAATAAAACATAAAATATTGGTTTAATCATCCAAATTTATTTTGTCGCCTTTAAAATAGGCTCCATTTGATGCGATACACTTATGCCGACAAATAATCCAGCCGTTGAAATATTTCTTATAAACACTTTCTGGTATGGCTTACACCTCCTTCTGCGAATTTTGTTTTATGGCTTCAATGGACTCAAAACGTCTTCCACGAAGTGGTAATTTGAATTTGGGGAATAGGAAAAAGTCACACAGGGCCATATCTGGCGAATATGGTATTTGGTTGATGACATTCGGTGAGTTTTCGATAAAAAATTCGCGTACAAAGGTTGATGTTTGGGACGGCGCATTATCGTGGTACAAAATCCAAGAATTGTTGTTCCAGAAATCTGACATTTTTCGGTGAACATTCTCTTTCAAACGCCTCATAACGCCTAGATAACATTGTTTGTTGACTGTTTGCCCTTCCGGAAGGATTTTTCACCACCATTTCCTTTACTTTGTGTATGTGATAAAAATGATGTTTTCATCAATCGAAGACATTGAAGGTAGACCAGAACGAAGCAAGTCTTCAACCACTTCTTGGCCTTCTTTGAATGCTTTGTACCACTCGTATGCTCGTGTTTTCGATAAAGCTGACCGTAGGCCTTCTCCAACATTTTCAACGATTCAGCACAAGACATTTCGTTGGCAACACAAAATTTGAGACAATCTCTTTGTTCGATATTTTTATCCATTTTAGAATTCGCAAAGTACACCTGAGGTCAACTAACAAAACCAAGCGGTAAACGAATTGGTTGACGGATGGCGGCAAAATTCGACATGACAATTAGGTACATTGGTACCAACTTACGGCAAACCATTTTTTTTTTTCATTCCTTTCACGCGGGCTTTTGAAATGAACAATTCCCGGTATTTATTTGACAGAATGTATACTTTATTTTTATACAACTGGTCTCGGTAAGCCAATACCAGTCGTTGTTTTTAACGGAATAGCTGAAGTAATAAAGTAAAAAGAGCACGAGCGTGGCATGGTGGGCAGCGCATTAGTCTATCATGCTAGGAGTCCCGGGTTCAATCCCCGGCAGAACCAGAAAAATTTTATCATGGCTCGTCGCCGCTCCTCTTCGGTGGTCTGGCAAAAACCACCAAGAATATTCCCATGTCACGAAAACTTCTCTCCAACTGCCGTTCGGAACCGGCGTAAAACTGTAGGTCCCATATGCATGTGTACAATCTGTCTGCGCACCACATGCACATGTAAAGAGAGAGAAATAGACACCCAGGGCCTCAAACGAGGCTGTAGTGCCAAGAAAGAATAAAATAAAGAACAGCACAATTAATTAGCAATTACCAGGTGTATGCATAAGTTTTTTCCGGCTTTTTGGTAAAAAAAAACACGTAATTTTCAATGGAAATTAATTTTTTTTTTTATTCAAAATATTGGCCATCGGTTTCTACACATTTCGCCCATCTTTAAGGTAATTTATGAATACCATGCCAGAAAAACTGCTTGTCTTTTGCGGCAAACCATTCGTCGAGCCATTTTCCAACTTCCTCGAAATTGCTGAAGTGTTGCTCTGCGAGCGCGTGCCCCATTGATGCGAAGAGGTGATAGTCAGATGGCGCCAGGTCTGGGGAGTACGGCGGGTGCGAAAGGATGTCCCATCCAAGCGATTTCAAGCTGTCTTTCACTGGTTTTGCTGTGTGAGACGGCGCATTGTCGTGTAACAAAATCACTTTGCCATGTCTTCTGGCTTATTCCGGTCGTCTTTCGCTTAATGCGTGATTTAAATTAATCATTTGTTGGCGATAGTGTTGTGTATTAACGGTTTCGCCGGGCTTCAAGAGTTCATAATACACAATACCGCTCTGGTCCCACCAGACACAGAGCATGGTCTTCTTGCCGAAGCGATTTGGCCTTGGTGTTGATGGACCGGCTTCGCCAGGTGAAAGCCACGATTTTTTCCGCTTCGGGTTTTCAAAATAAATCCATTTTTCGTCACCCGTCACAATTCGATACAAAAATGATTTCCTTTCGTGGCGTTGAAGCAGCATTTCACAAGTGACTTTGCGATTTTCCATTTGACGTTCATTCAAATTGTGTGGGACCCATTTACCGAGTTTATTGATCTTTCCCATTGCTCGTAAACGTCTGCTGATTGTTTCTTGTGATACATGTAATGCTTCTGCTAATTGCCGTTGAGTTTGAGTTGGGTTATCATCCAATAACTCCTGCAATTGCTCGTCTTCGCATTTTTGTGGTCTACCAGAGCGCTCACTGTCTTTCACATTGAAATCACCATTTTTAAATTGTCGAAACCATGTCTCACATGTTCTAATCGATGGAGCGTGTTCACCATATGTTTCTACCAGCAAACGATGACTTTCAACAGCCTTTTTCTTTTGATTAAATAAGAAAAGCAATGCGTGCCGCAAATGTTCTTTTTCAGGCACAAAACTCGACATGATCACTGAACGATAAAACAAAGACGCTAGTTTTTGGCGGACTCAACTTGTGTGTGTTTGTAGTTTTAAATGTCAGACGAACAAAATGACGTATGTGTCAAATTAATACGCTGCGTACTTTTTGCTGGCGCCATCTCTTAGTTAAACCGGAAAAAACTTATGCATACACCTGATAAGTAGCAGCTTAATAGATCCCATTACCATATTACAGTGAGCGCTCTGGTAGACCACAAATATTATCAGCTTAATAGATGTCATTTCAGCAATGAAAACAGCTTAATAAAAGACAACTGACTTGCATTCACATATTTTATGTTTTTCTATATCCTTATTTTGTTGTTTTTTGTATGCATGTCACTTTTTATGCCTAACGTATTTTGGACACAGTATGAATCAGAAAAATACAAGACAGGGAATCAAGCTATCGATTATTATTTTGCAATCGAATGTTTGAGCAAACATTTATTTCTTGCGTATAAGACTTCGCAAATTATACGAATTAAGTCGAAAGTCAAAGTCGTCTATAAGAATATAAATATCAATCTTGGCTAATTATATCCAATGTTAATAAATATATTTATGTAAAAGAAAATTGGCTATCAATTAATATTAATATCCTTTTTCATCTAACTATTAATCTTATTTTAACAAAAAATCTATAAAAATTTTCACTACAAATTTGTTCTCCTGTTGCCTCTTTTTGTTCACAACATAATTACAGAATTACTATTTTAATAAAAAAAGAAAATAAAAACATTTTTTATTTTCTTTTTTTACTAAAGAAAACCAATGCTAAGAGTCAAACTTGGACGTACATCTTAACAATCAAACGCTGAACCGTACTGCTATGCACACTATTTTTAACTTTGGTCATATTATATCGGTTTATGCCTGACGCTGAAATCTTTTTCATTAATAAGTTTTGTATGGTTAGCCATCTACACCTAATAAAAGTTTGGTTCACATCTGCGTTGCCCACCTCGCGTAATCCTTTTTGTCAGATCCTCGCTGAGAAAGTATTAGCAGCAACCTCGAGCACACTAACCGAGTCAGAGCAAAAAAAGAGAATCTCTCTCTCTCTCTCTCTCTCTCTTGTCACATGAATAGACACTGTTTCTGTATGCGTAAGGGAAGGAGATAATGCTAGCATACGCGGACTCGAAGTCGCATCATTGCCCAAGTCTCGAAATTTTTGCTGGAGCAACGTATCACTCGAAAGAAGGGATGGGTGAAGATAACTCTCCCCTCTCCTAGGCTTTGCATGGTACAGAACTCAATTGATAGACCTCAAAGAACGAAACTTAATACAACGCCACACACAAAATGCTCAAATAAGAGGCATAGTAAAGTGACGTGTGACAGCATAATTTATTCTGGCGAGCAACTTCACTATTATTCATTCTAGTATACTTGTGTTATTTTTTACGTACTCATGGAACCTGTGAAATGCTCTGAATACTAAACTGAACATTTTAAATAAGACATGGAAATATATTTTCTATTCTTTTCGAAAGTTGTCAACCTACGTGTTTTTTGTGTGACTAAACCACATTTCACAGTTTGTTTTACGACTGTTTACTGTCAATTGAAAAGGTTAGTTTTCGGAATATTTTACAAGTATATTAAAACTGAGCGCAAGCGTATAGCAGACAGCACACTGGTCTATTATGATAGTGGTCCCGAGTTCGATCCCGATAGAAGCCAAAATATTTACGTTCGTGTCTCCTCTCGGAAAGAAGCGGCAACTCTATCGAGAATATCTTTATCAAGAGAACTTCTCTAAATAATATACCGTTTTAAACTGTCAGCGTGCGCATCACAGGCATATGAGAGAGGTCACCACGCCCTGGATACGGGTAATAGGACTGAGGGAGGGATGCTGAAGCTATCTTAAGTGTTCTTTTAGGCGAGTTTGATTTTACTTGAAAATGGCACTCAAGAATTTTCAGCGTGCAGTTTCTCGTCTCTGACGTCATCAATTCGATACAGCCGCGACGACTACCCAGAAGCTTTAATCGACTTTTTTCTTTTCCATTTTATAATTCATAAGTACAATAAATGAATTGAGTTTTTCCTTATAAATTTAATAGTTATGTATATATGGGTGAAAAGGGACCATATTTAGCACCTAAAGAACCAGTACCTACTTCTCATGGACGTTTGTTAGCTGGAATGTACGGTATCAGCGAAGTTGTACCAGAGAAGAAATAAAAAACTGATATTAAATATCTATATGATATCTCGAAATTTTTTATTAATACATATCCGAAACAAATTTATATTATTACACAATATAACAAAGATCATATCATTTTGTAACTGATAAATTGCATTAATGCTCATAATGATGATGATACTAATAATAAATAAACTTAAAATAATAAAAACTAGAAACTGTGCTGTAAAAGGAAAGAAGTTATTAAAAAATAAAACAATAATATAAATATTAATTGAATAACTTAATTATCAGTATTTCTAAAGAAAATATGTTGTTTATTTACAAAAAGACGAATAGTCTTTCAATCTTCGAAATAGTCATCGTTACTTTTTACACACTTCCGCCATCTTTCAGGTAACTGGCGAAATCCGCTTCGGAAGAAAAATGGATGGTGGCTTCGAGTTGATAAACTCGTCGATACTTTTGTCGGCCTTCTCGGAAAATTTGAAGTGGGAATCAACCAGATGATGTTGCAGGGATCGATGGTAATCCGAAAGGTCGAAAAACACCACATGAAAGAATTTCCTAGCCCATGTCGAAGATGATCTCCAAGATTGTTTTCGCCTTGTGCGATCGCGCATTGTCGTGTAGCAAAATCATCTTTCTCCTTCCAGTGCTGATAAAAGGTCTTTTTTCCTCAACTACATCACTGTCAATCTAATCATTTACTGCCGGTAACGCTCAGAGTTTCATCAGGCTTGAGCAACTCATAGTAAATAACGTCTTTCTGGTCCTACTAAATACACAGTAACGTTTTTTTTGCGTAAATATTTGATTTTGCAGGGCTGGTCGATATCTCACCCGGATAATCCCACGATTTTCTCCTTTTAGGATTGTTATAGACCCATTTTTTATCATCAGTTACTATTTTGTGCATAAAGTCTTTCTTCTTGAATTTTAATAGCAGGGATATAGCTGTGTCGAGGCGTCTCTCTTTGTTTTCAGGACTGAGCACGTGCGGAATCCAACACTGAATTCTACCAAATTTATATAGACGTTTCAAAATAGTTTGTTGTGAATCACTGCAAGTGCATTTACAAGCTGTGATTGAGTTTGACACGGATTTTCTTCCAAAAGCTGTTCCAATTCTTCGTCTTCAATTTTCTTCGGTTGTTTAGGGCGTTCTTCGTCCTGAAGATTGAAATTGCCATCCCAAAACTTTTGAAACTACATTTTACATGTACTATAAGACATAGTATTTTCACATAAGGACGAGCAAATTATTTCATTAGTCTCGGCGGCATTTTTCTTCAGTTGGAATTCAAAAAGGAGGCAGTGCCTAGATGTTGCTTTTCAAACGACATCGCTTTCATTACTGTTGAGTTTACATTAGTAGAACCGCCAAATACTATATCTCGTTTTAAAGCTGAAAAGTGGTGCTGTAAAACGACAATTCGGTAGGAAAAAAAGTTAAGTTTAAATAGGTGCTGCAGCTGATTAAATGTAGGGGCCAAGAATTAAGGCTCTTGGGTGGATGCAAATATTCTTGTTTGATGACGTCAGAAGCGAGAAAACGCATGTCAAGAATTCTTGCGTTTTACGTTTAAATAAAAAGATATATTCACAAAATGACATTTGCAATCGATTCAGTACACTTGTAAACATAGAGATATAAGAATAGAGGGAACAAGCCTGTAAGTGGAAGTGAAAGAGGCAAAGAGAGAGATGGATGCCGAGTGTCCTATCTGTCTCTTTCTAGTTGAGCGCTGTGATTGGTTGTTACAATGAGCCACCAAGACGACCACGCGACGTCAGGAGGGGAGAAAGCAGACTAAAATTTCGTTTTGTAAATATGCGTGCACATGTGTGTAGAATTAAAATTCGTTAAATATTCGAACGTTAACAAAATAATAATTGGACGCGATTTGTTTAAAAATGAGGCATTGTTTGAAATGCAAGGCGGAGTCTTATCCTGGATGTAACCGCAGTTTTCACTCGTAAGAAAGTACAAATACGTAACCTCAAATAATTATATGTTATTTTTTTCTACGTTTAAAAAAATATGTAAATATGTAAACTACCGAAGGATGTAGATATAAAGCGTAAATGGTTGAATATACTTCAACTACCTTTGTATTTTGAAGTGAAAACAGCATATATTTGCAGTGATCATTTTAGCAATGACAGTTTCTTTGAATTGGATGGAGAAAAATGTATAGCTATATCGTCGTTGGCGCGGCAGCCAATCCCAGCGCGTGACTAGAAAGAAACAGATAGGACACTCGGCATCCATCTCTCTCTTTGCCTCTATCACTTCCACTTACAGGTAGCATATATCCCTTGTTCCCTCTATTCTTATATCTCTATGCTTGTAAAATTGTCCGTGCATTTTACTTTTATTCGAATAAGCAATAAATAGTCGTCAAATTAACATTGACAAAATCATGAGAAAAGAGGTTAAAATGAATGGTTCCATGTCAAATTAATTTTACGGCTGTTTATTTTACGTCTATTTTACGATTGTTTGTGTAGAAGAAAAGTACACGGACAATTTCACAAGTGTACTGAGTCGATCATAAATATCATTTTGTGAGTAATCTTTTTATTTAAACGTAAAACGCAAGAATTCTTAACATGCGTTTTCTCGCTTCTGATGTTATCAAATAAGGACAGTTGCAACAATTTCGACTCGGAGCTCTATGTTACAGGTCGCTCGCTGCGTTATTCTGCCTCTAGAAATCAGTTGAGGCTTATCGTTGCTAAGACATCTTTAGAAATAAACCATTTTTCTTTATACTGAGTTCGACCTATTGTTTCTCGTGCCATTATTAGCTGATATAGATTAATTAATTTCTCATTAACCTCTTCAGGGATGAATTTTAAATTTTTGATTTATAACAACGAAAATTTTTTTAATTTATTTTATTCAACATTTAATAATAACGGTAATTTTTAACCCTTTGCACTCGAGGGCTCCGCTATGGAGACAATGCAACTAACTTTCAGTTCATAACATAAGTTCATAACAAAGATAAATCGTAAAAACTATTGTATATAGGATATTCCGCTCTTGCTATTTGCATTGTCGGAGCCCTCGAGTGCAAAGGGTTAAATAAAACTAAACGTACACATATGCGTCAATATCCCTGAAGAGGTTAATTATTGTGAATTTTGCAAAATAGTACATGATTTTTTGGTCTAGTTGCTTTTACTTGCACATTACGGATCTTTAGAAAGGCTTCAGACACCTAGTATATGTATAAGATATGGCGCAAGGCGTACCAACCATCACATACTTATAATATAGGTCAATGTGAACAAAATCTTCTATTATTTTGCAAACATGAAAAATGTGTTATCCTAATGCCGACGGTATTGTAACTTTCAAGCCTTAACTCGAAAAGTACTTAATGAAAAAATATTTTCTTATAATGTTTTGGAAATATCTCTTTAGAAAGACTATAATAATATGCATTAAAATATAGGGAGTTCCATTAAAAAAGTTCAAGTTGACCTTGTTCTAATCTTGGCGATGCCACCCAACTGATAATACGAGGGTGGATCAAATATAAACGAGTCTTTTGCAAAAACACCATATATTTTTCAAAATCAGTTGTAATTTACATTTTTTTTATTTTTCTACATAGTCTCCCATCTTATCTATACACTTCCTCCAACGGTCTGATAATTTTTTAATCCCGATATCATAAAAAGTTCGCGCACGTGTATCAAACCAATTGCACATGAACTGTTGTACCTCCTCGTTCGTTGTGAAACTCTGTCCATCAAGGTCTTCCTTGAGTGGCTTGAACATATGGAAGTGACAGATTTAGGCTGTAGGGTGGATGTTCTAGGACAGCCCAGTGCCTATCGGCCAATTTTTGTTGTGTTAGTGCTGCGGTGTGGGGTCTGGCGTTGTCATGGAGAAGCAACACACTTTTGATCGGAATGCCGCGCTTTTTTGACCGATAGGCAGCTCGAACCTAAGTTCCTGAGAGATTTCAAGAACAGTTAAGTGCCGATCGCCTTCGATGAGTTCTAGAACAGCCTCGGTGTTCTGCGCTGTGATGCTGGTGCGGGGACGGCGCGAGTGGGCAATGTTTTCAACACACTCCCGTCCTTTCTTAAATTCGTTACACCACTGCTTCACCCGAGCCCATGAAAGGGTTCTTTCCCCGAACTGTGGGAATAAACGGCGTTGAATTTCAGTAGCATTTACATTTTCGTTGACAAGAAACTTAATAATAATACGTTGTGCAACTGCGGGGTGTACCTCTTTCTCGATCATCGTGATTACTGCTGAGAGAAAAAAGCACGTGGCGCGCCAACGTTATTACTGCCTTCCACATGACCTCTCTCTACTGTCCAAAACGTTGCAGACCTCTCACGCCGCCGATAGGCGCACAATTTAAAAAGGCTCGTTTATATTTGATCCACCCTCGTATCAATAAATGGATCTCTTTATATTCCACAATTTTTGTCTGAAACATTTTTCTATAAAACATATTTTTCGAGCTATTTAGGGGTATCTATCTTTATCCTCCACTCTGTCTTCTATATATACAGGGTTTGTCCGGAAAGTAATTTTCAGTGATTTTTTTTTGACACGACTGACCGTTAGAGCGCGCTCGGATCGGTCGGGAATGGTAGAGGGGGAAGTCAGCTAACGAATGTTAAGTCACTCAGTCTTCTCCCGCCAGCGGCATAGTAAGGACATGTGTTTCCGTGGAAGTCGTTTTGTGACCTCGTGCAAGTAAAAATGCAGCACTCGTTAGAACAAAGGATGGCGATCATGTTTTGCGTTAAACTTTGCAAGACCGCAGCGGAAACTCTTCCAATGATTAAGACAGCTTTTAAAGAAGATGCCCTGTCGGATCGGCAAGTGTTCCGGTGGCACAAAGTTTTTTTGGAAGGCCGGGATGAAAAAGCCAGGATGAGCAGATCCAAAATCAAGATGGTGTTCATTGTGTTTTTTGATATCAAAGGAATAGTCCATGACGAGTTTGTACCACCTGGTACAACTGTGAACGCTAAATTTTACGTCAGAGTGCTGAAGAGACTGAAACGCAGGGTTCTACGCGTCCGACCGGACATCGCAAAGGACTGGAAGTTGCATCACGACAACGCGCCGGCCCACAGCTCCTTCCTCGTCACTAACTACCTGGCTAAAGTAAGAGCGCCAATGATTCCCCAGCCTCCGTACAGTCCGGACGTCGCTCCCCCCGACTTCTATCTGTTTCCACGTCTGTAAGGACCCATGAAAGGAAAGCATTTCGAGACCATTAAGGGGATCCAAGCAGCTTGCACCGCGGCTTTAACATATTAACGCCCAAACCACGCGAATTTTAGGTAACTTTTCATCGAGTTTTTTTTTATGCTATCGGTTTACAAAAAAATTTCACAGGCTCTTTTACGACGTAAAATTTCATGTTCTTTCGGAACCCGAGGTCAAAATTGCGATTAACCCTCAAGGAAAAAAAATATGGCCTATTTAAACATGAAAAACGTGAAAATTTTCGAAACATTTTTTTTCTGAATTTTTTTTGCAATGATACCGCAAAGGTATCATCTTTTAATTATGATCAGAGGTGATCATGGGGGTTGAAGATTAACAGGAAATTTTTATATTAATAGTGAATCACTTATTTTTCACAAAATGGCATCGAGAATGTGAAAATTTTATTAAAATCTTAACTTATCGTTTTCTTGAAAACTATAAGACTATAGACTTTAGGAAAAAGTTGCTAAGAACAATAATGTTTTAGAATTAGTCAAGAAACACTCTCAAATTTTTTCAAAATTTTTGCAGACAATTTTTGATTTTCTGATAAATTCGGGAAATCTAATTTTCCAAAAATTGTCTGCAAATATTCTGAAAAAATTTGAGAGTGTTCCTTGACTAATTCTAAGATATTTTTGTTCTTAGCAATTTTTTCCCAAAGTCTATAGTCTATATTTTTTTCGAGAAAAAAATTCTTTTATCCTTCAATTTGGCAAAAAAAAAATCTTCATTTTTATGTATACAAACATGTATATCTACGGACATGTGTCTTTCTTTAATTTCTCTCTCTCTCTCTTCTTTTTCTCGTCTTTTATGTATGTACATGTGTTTGTGTGCAAATGCATATACATTGTTTTTTTTCTACCCTTAGCGTCATCCAGAGACAACGGCGCGGACGTGGTAGAAATTTGTTTCCTTTGGGGTGCTTTTTTTTGTGAGTCCCCTTGCCTCTCACGTTACGGGGTGCTTTTTCCGTGAGTCCCCTTGCCTCTCACGTTACGGGGTGCTTTTTCCGTGAGTCCCCTTGCCTCTCACGTTACGGGGTGCTTTTTTTCCGTGAGTCCCCTTGCCTCTCACGTTACGGGGTGCTTTTTTCCGTGAGTTCCCTTGCCTCTCACTTGTACAGAACTTCTATCAGTGCTTTTTTGCCCAACAATTATTGCAAACATACAAATTACATTCTTTACAAATAATCCTTGTTCTTATTGGACAGTTTTTAATTGAACACCTTTTCAATATGCCGCTACTAGATCGTGTATGAATTATTTGACTTTTTTATTGACTTTTTTGAATATAATATTTGGCAATCGAAATCGTGAACTCTTTTATTCCAACTTTTTTGTTTCCATCATGAGCAGCATTGAAAATTACAAGAGCATTAGTAATGGATGCCTGTATAAGTCTCAT